TTGCTTCTTTTAATTGGTCAGAAACAATTAAATTCCCAGTAAAAAAAAAAAACACCGTTAGTGTTCAAGACCAGTAAAAAATCCAGGAAATATTACATAATCAACTGAGCTTCACAACAAGTCGCAGGTCTAGTGTACGTACACTGTAATTCTGCACACACGTGGTGTGTGTTAGAAGTAAATGTCATTCTAGTTCTCAAAAGAAAATAGACATAAAAACATGTCTGTTGTTTCATGTAAATATCTTGGAGTAAACTGTTTGAATTTGTCAGAAAATATAAAAATAATTTGCAACTTTTCAAATGTGTGATCATTAACAAACCAAATAAACATTATAGATCAGTGTTTTCTTTTATTGGTGTCAGTTTTTTTCCATCTTGACCATTTTAAAGCCTGAAACAGTGAATAGTAATAAGTTAAATAAATTAAGTTGAGTTTATTTGACTTTAGTTCATTCATCTAGTGCCTATCCTTAACACAGTTATCTCAGGGAGTTTGTTCATTATTCCAGTTAGTTACAATGTTCTATCTGAGGTTTCTATATAAACTTAAAACAAGTGCTTGTCCCAGATTATCAGCTGTAATAATCTGCTTTATGTTATGATAAATATAAAACAGCAGCATCGTAATGAGCATAGTTGGTTGACTGGTTGCCTGGCAGCAAGCGGGTTCTAGCCCCATCTGTGGCGACTTTCTGAGTGGGTATTCTCTGGTAATCTAGTAGATTAACTGGAGTCTCTGAATTGTCCCCACGGGTCCCAGTGATGGACTGAAGCCCGCATGCTGCCTCTCGCCTGATGGCGTTAAGACACCTGTGAGAGTCTACCGTAGTATTCGCCCTTGCCACCTAGGTCATCCAGCAGAGGGCAGTAGACATGTACAAGTGAAACTAGAATATGGTGCAAAAGTTTATTTATGCCAGTAATTCAACTTGAAAGGTGAAATTAATAAATGAGATAGACTCATTACACGCAAATCCAGAAAGTCCAGCCTTTATTTGTTATAACTGGGTCTCAGCGGCTCACAGCGCCGCTTCAACAGTGCGATACTCTCATGAGGGACGAGCAAAATATCAAAAGGACCAGAAATTTGTGCGAGCTGACGATTGCTGATCGGTAGCTGGTCACTTGGTGTTAATCTCCTCTCGTAACCCCCTGGACGCTACTCAGCGCAAAACTCGCCCCATCTTGTAGATTCTCGCAAGAGGGGCAAATCGGCTCAAAAATGAAAAAGTTGTACAGTGTACACCCGGCCTTACACATTAGCGTCGGCACAGCTGGGTATGGGACTGGTGCGGAACCGGACTTTGGTTTCACACATGGGTCAGATATGTGTTTTCCAGTCTGAGGCAACTCTTTATTTTCAGACCTCCGTCCCAGCGGTCTGACTGGGGACCAACTGGGCTGGCTCCGATTGGCGAGTAGAATCAGCCAAACGGGGTTCCTGCAGGTGCCATTTATTTTCATGGATGCTGTGAAGTAAATTTCTGGCTGTAGCACGGAGCTGCCGATCAGTGGGAACGGGAGAAGAGTGTCCCTGTTCTCTGCATCAGAGCTCTCACCCCAGGTGTGTGTGTGTGTGTGTGTGTGTGTGTGTGTGTGTGTGTGTGTGTGTGTGTGTGTGTGTGTGTGTGTGTGTGTGTGTGTGTGTGTGTGTGTGTGTGTGTGTGTGTGTGTGTGTGTGGCATAAGATTATGATGACACACACAGCAAATTAATAAAATAATGTGGGTCATAGTCTCCAAAAGCAACACAGCTCATGGCCGCCTTTGTTTCTTACTATGGAGGACACTGCGGACTGTCCCGCGCGTATTAAACGCTGCCCGTGGGCTCTGGATTTTCCGCATTCCATGAGAAGTGCTTCGGATTTATATGTGAACACTACAACGCCCGTACCAGACCGAACTCGCCCTCCGGACCCACCAAACCCTGATGTGTAAGCGCCATTAGATGGTTTCTCAGTCTCGGCTGAGGACCTTTACCGTCGTTTCCACCTCTACGGAAGGTTTCTGGTTAAGGTATCAATTCTGTATTGGTGAATCCTGAACTGGATGCTTTAGGGTCAGAATCGTGTTGATCTGAATTGGAATAAGTTAGAGGAAGGGAATCAGCCCTTTAATGCTAAGAAAACATACACTGATGTCTGCATTTATTAGGCTTCTCTCTCTTTAGCAGAACCACACCTCAGATTCTGCTCCGTTTACTTTGTATGTCTTCTGCCTCCTTGTGGAACTAGTACTCCGTAAGAACCCATTTAATTTTATGTT